ACAGAGCACAATTCACAAAGCTACTGAGTGTCCACTATTTCCGGTGTATCCGCTGACGGTAATTTTTGTGGATCCCGTTACTCGTGTAGCCAACTTGTATCGGGGACCATATTCTGCGACGAACTTATTGATAATAATTATACCAATAACAATAGTGATAATAGGAACGGTTTGGTATATGTTTTCTGTCTGTACTTACCTGAATTTCATCAAATGATTTGCTCATCATAGCAATTAGCATATTGAGCAAAATGATAGTCATACAAGCGTTATAGATGGCGTACAATATACTGCCCAAACTGTTGATCATGAACGGACTGCTATCGACTGCCAAAGTTCCGTGTCCAGGGTACAGTTTGGCTAGATCCTCGTCAATGGTAGTCACATTGTTTGATGACTGACCAAAAAGAGCCCAGTACAGAGTGTAGAAGGTTGCCCCGGTGCTGCGCGGGCGGGGAGTAAGTCACACAGGGGGGGGTGATAAACGGGGGGGGGGAGAAGTGAATGTGACCAAGATTCAGGAGTAAAAATTGCGCATTTACAAATCTACTGATAAATGCAGTCAAGTTATCTACATTATCCAGTTTTTATTCAATGGCGTAGAGAGAATTCCTTAGCAAAACAGATAATATAATTAATTGCGTATATTCACAATCTGACTGTATTCCAGAAATTACATGAAACGATCATAGTAATTTTTCCGGGCACTGGAAGGTGATCACTTAACGACACAGAGTAAAGTTCGTCAAAATCGTTTCTGTCTTTGTACCACAGCGCACAGAATTGTGGTATCATTCAGAACAAACTAACGACCACCTTAGAGTACTTTCTCACGTCAGGAAATAATTGTGATCCGGGTATGATGAACGGGTCTTAGACATTATGACCGTATAGTTGAGAGACAGTATCACATGAATCCTGGTTTCTTTTTAGGTAAAATGCCCGCGATGTTCAACATCTGATGTGAGGCGGTTTTTAGTAATATTAATTTAGTGTGACAATAGTCGACGAAGGGCACTACATATCTGGGTTGTCTTTATAGAGACTGTTTAGCGATGCCTACGTATTCTGTGTCCCTACCGCGAATCGAACCATCGTATTGGGAGCCGTAATACTTGCATGTGAACCACACAGTTGAGTTCACACGGCTGATGAGTTGCAACAATGACGAAAAAACTGGTCAGAGCTCTTTTCAGACCAGAACACTGAAAGTTTAGGAGAAAGAATGTGGAGAATGTGGAGAATTTGCGAACTCCCAAGGAAACGAGACGCATATGGATGCAGTGCATAGCTAGTGGTATCTTTGAACACATCAATAGTACAAAAAAAATATTTAAGTAAGTTCTTTTCTATCGACTGCACTGGTTTTCAGTCAACCAGATAGTTTGGCTAGTGGTTGAATTCCACCGTGAGGTTCAACTGGCGTCCCATATATATAATCAATAATAGTGCCAAACTGGAGAAACAACTGCTGTTTCTTGACGATGAAATGGTCTTGAAAGTTTAGCGATGCATTCATAGTTTCATTGAATGAACTCGCCTGAGAAGAATGACACAGATTATGAGGTATTTTGCGGTCAGTTCTATGGGTAATTAAACTACCGTTAACAATTTGACAGTCAGAAGGACAATGTTGAAGAGTTTGAGAGCATTTTTCAGATTCAAAGTAAAATTGCTTTTGATTTGACATTTCGGTAATCCATCGGTGCTACTTCATCTCTCATGTATGCTTTCGACTAATGACTGTGGGCTACGGATGGAATCCGGTGCGGGAGGAGAAATGAGTTGTTTTGAGATCCATTTTCAAAAGTCGCAACGCTTCGGTATTCGCATTCTGGTTTTCACTACTCCTTGGCTATACTGACTTACAGAAAAAACTGAAGCTAATAAATGATATTACAAGAAGTAAACAGAAATAACTAGCATCCGTGTAAAGTTGCTTTGTTCCCCCCTTTCAGTCACGGACAAACTCATCTAATGAGGCACAGAAAGTTCCAGGGGTTATGTCAGAACAGGAACGTACTAGTAGTTCATTAGAAATATTACCTTTTGAATGCTGGTATGCCACTGGCATATCGAATGAGACGTCCTTGCAAATCCACAGATACTATGATATTGGCGAAATACCAGTACAAATTTGTCAATCCGACAACAAAGGCGATCACCATCTATAATTAAACGGGAAGACGGGTCAGCAAATTGTTTTAAAACTAGCGAAACCTGACAAACAGACAAGGAGACAAACAGACAGAAAGAGAGACATGAATGAAGATCAATACTGCTGTGAGTGAATCGCGAAGCAGTGGTAAGAACAGAGCTGGTGTGCATATGCCTATGTGATATATACATTCCTTTCTGTCCTTAAACCGGAATCGCTCACTTCGAAAAAAACAACTTAGAGGTCGAGTGAAAGCATTCCATCAACCCCGCTCTACATTCGTACGACTTCGTCTTTCATGACAAACCCTATAGATTGATCTCTTCCAGGCCCTTAAAGGAAACAAGTACAATTATCGACTCGGTAAAAGACTGTTGCTTAGCATGTATGAAACACAACACTTATACATACATAGTTTCCGCAATCGAATTATCCGTTACCAATGGGACAATGAAGAAAGCCAAAAACCCATTGAAATTTAGTTCTGTGCAGAGGCAGTTGACAAGAATAATTCATGTAACATTAGTCGATCCCTGCACAGCTTAATCCTTACCAATTGAACTACGCAGTGAGCGAAGTGATAAACGGTAACTGAGGTTTTGGAAAAGGTCAAGTAGTTTGATACTAGGCAATCTGAGTTTGAGAATCACCAAATTGAAGTGTTCATGATTGGATTAAACAAACCATGAATCCCAAGTAAAGCAAACCAAGATCGGGGTATGATTACGGTGTTTGTGCTTAGAAATGTCAAGGTGTAGAATACTGATGAGTGCCCCAAGCATATTTGCTGACTGCAACATGATTCGAGGACATTAGCGTAGCGGTTGAAAGTCACCTGCATATATGCAACAGCCCGAGTAATGGCAAGTGATGACCGGAAGCAACCGTTAGACAAGTCATTCGTTTGATCATATAGATTTTTCTAATGAGAAATCATGCCATAACCAACAGCGATGCCTGAACTTGTATACGACTGATACGTCTCTATTCAGCTGGAATTTTAACAAAGATAAAACACGCTGTGATATCAGAATGTAAAGCAGGTTAAGTGGGAATAGTTAAATAATCGGATTTGAATCGAAAGTAAAATTCACGAAAAATGTTTTCGCATAGATTTTAAGTTTGAAATTACAAGTACAGAAGATAATTAATGGAACATTCTGAGTTTAGGGCCGATCATTCAATATACATCTTGTAGAGCACCCACATTAGTGGTAGGATAAAAGTTATACTTTTAGAATAGATAAAAAATCAGCTTGATATTTTAAATTTTTGATATCGTGCAAATACACAAACAAAACGTCTGCTTATTGCTTTCCAGTTGTGGGTTTCGCTCTTTGGGTATCCATTTCTTCCACCCACATTTTTAGCTGTTATCTAAAGTGCACGAAAGCCAACGAAGAGCCCGGAATAGCTGCTTTGTCTGCGCGGACTTATCAGGTGGATGTACTATTTCCACGCTCCACTCAGAGGATTCAAACCAAAAACCCAGCGTTTTGGGAGGCGAAACCCTTACTTCTGAGTATCGCGGTAGACAGCAAACAATTGTGAATTTTATTAAATGGAAGAAACATGTTCTTGTCGCTGAAAGTTCATTAATAAATAACAATCCTCCGCTACTTGATGAAGGCTCTATCATCATCCATCGTTTGAAATTCTGGTTCCACAGTTTATAAGAGCAATATTCATCGAAGTAGCCAATAAGATTATGGTCTAATGAATCATTTGAGGCAAATAATAAACTGCACTCTGGAAGTTTCAGTGGGCAATTAAGAATCAACAACCGTCTTTACTCTCCATGTGCCAAATGATTACTAGTTTAGAATTTCCTTTTGATTACGGTGGTGGTGCAATTTGAACAGTAATTACAGAGAATGCCCGTTTAGGAAAATTTACGACAAAATGCCATAGTCAAACTTCGCGTCAAAGTTATAAGCTACAAAATGATTTATTTGTTGCGAGGATACACTGTTCATTTTGAATCTGAACCCATTCTATGTGTATAACATGGTCATTCAAACTGTGTGACATCGTATATAAGTAGAACAACAGGTCTAGGAGAGTTTTGTGTGGGGTGCAGTGCAGGGATGCACTTAGCGAAGAAACGAGTATGAGATCTGTACACTAAACATGGAAATGTAGTGTCGATTAAAAAGGATTCGTTCTTTGAACACGACGAACATTTTTATCACTTGAAGAGTTCGTGCATGCAACACAAACATTTTTTAATTCCTCATCATATGGGGAGGCTCATTTAAAGGGGTTACGAGTTCCCTTCTATTGCACGCGAAATAATAAATCGGCCACACGGTTTCTTCGGCGAATTCTATTTAGAATGCCTCACAATGAAATACTGTTTGGAATCAAAGTGAATAATGCAACGCAGAATAGAATGACGAATACATTTGCATTTCCGAACCCAGTAAAAATAGAACATTATTCATTAGCTATAAAAGACAACAGTGCAAAATGACTATTGGTCACTTACATGTGCGTCTCAGTAAAAAATGTCCCGAAAGAAACAGTCAATCCATTCCCTTTTCACAAATAACCATATCGTCTACGAGAATTAAAGCGAAGTAGTCCCTGAGGCATACCAATAACGCAGTGAAAAACTCCCTTCCTTTCATCCACTGTCTGAAAATGACATCGTTTTCACATAGTTTCCTGTTATCAATGCCCAAAGGTTTTTTGTGTGGTTCGAATCTGGTCTGTACGTGAGTTAATACAGACAACTATCATTCGGGTTCAAAATCAATGGTCATCTTAAATCCAAGGTGTACACAGAGCCGTCTTCTTGTTTCAAATACTAGATTTAACATGATGTTTGACAAAAGAGTGTTTGTCTAAGAAACGAAGGTTTGAGTATTGTCTGGGAAACAGCTCTGCCCTGCCTTGCCTAGCTATAAGAAGGTAGACACACATCATCAGTTCTGAAACTGTGGCATCTTGGTTTGTTGCGAAATTCCTGTCAAATGCGAGAAAAGCCATCCCGGAGGGGGGGGGGGAGTGTCCAAATTAAACTTATTCCCATTGATGGGGATGTGGTGTTCCATTTTTTAGCCAGTGTGAACTTGCTTCCTGTCCCCCTAAAGCTCTCACACATACCAGTTGCTTTCCGTCACGATTACTTTATCAACTTCCAGGAATGGAGTTGTGACGTGCATCGCATTATTTGTTCCACCCAACCCATAGAGATTTCAAGTTCATCGATGCTTTCAGTTTTGTTACACAGGTGCACCTATTGGAAACTAATCGTAGAGACCACCCGTGTGTACCTTTTGACATTGTCAGACATTTTCTTTTCGAGTCATTAGGCGGATTCACTGTTGACACACAACTGCGCAGTATCCTCACTAACGTCCTCACATCGTAGGCAAACCCTCACTGGCTTTGAAGGGTGAATAACAGCTTCCCACGGGTTATGACCAACCGAATGGCAGTGCGTAAAAGCGTGTGAGCTCTTTTGGCAGCCCGAGTTGTGTCTCAGATGCACGTGACTAGTCTGACTCATTAGTAGTTAACACAGTCGAGCAGCGCTCTGCTCACCAAACTTGGTTATCAAACCAGTCAAGTTTATCTGCTTTGTATCAGAGGCTGTCTCAATTGCGATGGTTTCTGAGTAGCTTTTAATTATTCGGCACTTTTGTTTGAATTATTTGCTTCTATTTTTGTTCAACAGCAAACCAATTACAAAAGTTTCATTGTTACCTGAGTCACCTCATTCTTCGTTAGCTTGCAAAAGATGAACAAGATGACTGGTAATGTGACAAAGTTATGAAGCGCCTATTCTATAATTTTACAAACTTCATCGCTGATAGAGGAGCATTCGACCTACAGGTATCATGTTTAAACTATTTCGTAAGCTAACGGGACTCCCAGAGTGCAGATGAAAGGGGTTAGATGAGAAGAAAACTATTGTTTTGTCAAATCTTGGGTAAACGAAGTGAATTTTTTTTAGGTAAAAATGTAATAGACCGAGTTCTAACCAAATGCGAATTCTCCTACTGAATCAGACGTCAAGTAGTTCACGCCACTTCATGTCTTTGAAACTTTATTGTGCCGGTAGTTTCTATTTGTGACACAATGCCACAACCATTGCTGTC